CTGTGCACCATTAACACCTAAATCTTCCCATTAGCCTGCCAATCGCTCTCTCCACAGTATTACGTGCTGTGGTGTGTAATTTATTGTAGTGCTCTTCTGGTGATCCTTCTTCAGCGTTAGGCATTGGTACCATCAGATAAGTGCGTTGGGCATATCGGAATCACCTGCAATATAAAATGTTATGTTAGTTGTATTTTTAATGAATTAGTGGTAGAGCCACGCTGCAGCTATATTATGGTTGTAGCGCGAATGGGTCGGCTCGACCGGGGATGGACCACGCTCTCACAGAATACCATCGTAAAATAGCAGCTCAATACTACTGTGTTTCGTATGGTGAGTGTAGAGATCTGGAGACCCTTTTTTACTGGAAACGAGGCATTCCATCGTAGTCCTTACGGGTGACAACGCATCTACGTTTTGATTCTTAACGATAAATGTAGATGTCTATGGGCCACAGCATCCACTTACCATCAGGTGGATTGTGTGCTCGTCTGTCACCCTTATTCTATATAAAAAAAATCAAGACTTAATTGCATTTCAACTAATCGACGTGATCTTTATGAAGGGTGGGTGTAGATAAATTGTGGGGGATTTGTTAAAGTTATACTATTTTTACGTAAATATATGACTGATTCTTAGCTTACCTTGCAAATATACGGTTTCACCAGCTTCAACTAAACTTTCAAGTTTAGGTTGAATCACACAATTATTATTAAAAATAAAAGTGTCGTGTGTAGCACCTCCGTAAGTTGCGTCAACGTGTAATATATTTAAGTCGGCGTCAGTGATTTGAGCATCAGTGAATAAAAAATATTGTGATGGTAAAAACACTGGCCTTTTCAATTTTTTTATTTTACTTTTACAAGCTCCGTATACTTACTAACTGCACATTTCTTGCATGGTTTCCCCTCCGATAGTAATAACGCTTCATTCTGTGATGTTCTCATCATTGTAATGTAAGTACCATCAACACAACCTGTTAACTCCAGGAATATTATATTTTTTGAAAAATTTGTAATTTTTTTAAATGTTACTCTACGAGGGCGGCACTGAAAATTTCGGGAATCAAGGAAGGGACACAACATTACTATATAAAAATGTATTTATTGCTTTTCGAAGTATTCTCCGCGAAATTTGACACATTTTTCCTTACGATGGAACTAATCATTAAAGCAACCATTCCGTTCGGAAGTTGGAGTCTCCAAAATGGCCGTTTTTTAGGCGTCCACAGCTTCTTCAGGTGATGAAAATCTCTGTCCACGCAATTTATTCTTTATTTTAGGGAAAGTATAGAAATCATTAGGGCTTAGGTCGGGGCTGTATGGCGGATGGTCTAATAATTCTATGTTTTCTTACTCTAAAAACTCTTTTGTTCTGTGTGCGGTGTGAGAACTCGCATTGTCGTGATGGAGGATGATGCGGCGGTTGCAGTTCTACGCGGTAGCATACCATTCTGCATTAACCGTTCTTTGTCCCTCGAGAGGAACAGTCGTAACATGGCCGGTTTTGGAGACAAACGTGGCCACCATTTTTTTTTTGCAACACTCCGTGAACGAACAATTTTTGTTAGCTTTAACTTATTTTAGAACACCCAAACTTGTGACTGGTTTTTTGTTTCGGGTTCGTACGCATATATCCAGGATTCGTCACCTGATACGATATTGTATACAGCATTTGAGGATCCTGCGTCGAATCTTTCGAGAGTTCTGACGCACCAAGTAACGCGAGCCGCTTTTTGCTCTTCACAGAGCGAATGCGGTATCCATCGGGAAAACAACTTTGTTACACCTAATTGTTCATGCAAGATTATTTGTATTTAACTTATGGCAATGTCTAAAGTTGCTTGAATTTTGCGGTATGTCACATGTCGATCTTCCTCAATCAGCTTACGTACAGCATCAACGTTTTCTTGGGTGACTGCAGTTTTTGGACGACCTTGACGGGGATCATCACTGAGCTTGACACGTCCACGTTGAAATTCAGCAAACCAGCGATAAATTGTGGTTTTGGATGGGGCTTCATTACCAAATGCAGAAATCATCTAGTCAACACACTGTTTTTGTGTTAAATCACTTCGAAAGTCATAATAAATCTTCGCTCTTGAATTTTCTCGAGTCAATTCCATTTTCTCAACGACTAAACAAGTTTGACAAAACCTTGTGACAAGAATCTTTTTTTAAATAAATAAATGGTATTCGATTTATAAAACCAAGGAGTTTTCAATTAAAAAGATTTTAATATGACAGGAACAGTGGAAATATTCCATTCCCGATACTTTTAGTGCAAAAAAAAATATATTTCTTGTATCGTGGGTGCATTTACAAACATAGAATATTGCATGCATTAACATACGGACCTACAGCAACTACCTGTGGATCACATAAATGTTTGTTCCATGCGGGAATCGAACCCGTGACCCGCGGCGCTGCATTTGAGTAGTTCAGCCACTGCACCAAACCTGCCATCAATATTAATATATAAACTTAAAAATTATATTTAAGTATATAATTATTATGTTAAAATAAAATATTATTTTAATGTGCAGTCAAGGCGCTATTTAAAGGCGAAGCCTTTCTTGTTATCGTAGGTACCTACTTTTCCTTTAGTTGGAGCCTTTCTTCAAAGTTTTGCGGGAATCGAATATATTTTTGACAACGCTCGGATGTTTAAGAGCTTTCACAACCTCATGAACACAGCGGGACACTGAAGGCTGCGACACATAAGTGTTGATATTTTTGCCGCATATTCTTTGCCTAACTACCACTAACTAGCAAGGAACGACAGTGCACGTAATACCTGAAAAATAAGCCAATAATTAAATGAAACATCTGTATTTTTTGTAAGCTAATATTATAGGATCTCTCATTTAGATTGGTTTGGTGGAGACCACTTGACTCCAGTGACGTCATAACTGCAGCTGTTTATCTAAGATATGCAAGTACTTTTTAGTTTCATGGCCGCCACTTATACACAGTTATGCTTAAAGAAGTTGGATTTATGTTGTATAATACCAATGGGCTTTTTAAAAAAGACTTACCTTTAGTTTTACTGACAATCCGCGTCGTCGACGCTGCGGAGATTTCAAGATGTTTGATATCTTCTAACAAGTTAGTGAGTTCTTCCGACAAACGATAATTTTCTATAAAGTCTTTGTGTTTATTAAATTCACGAAAATTCCTAACTTGACGACTTTCATATATACCCAAAGAATATGCTTCTTGCAATAAACTATAATTATAATATGAAGGAATGAGCCACACTACTATTTATATTTAAAATTTATATAAAACCATTAAATTACACTATTAAAATTTATTCTAAGCACTACTTTTAAAATGACGGGTGAATTCGCGCTTCGCCTGTGACCACAGAGTACCTTTGTGTAAACTGAAATAGAGACCAATCTTCGACCTATACAATGGCAATGTATAACTAGCGCCATCTCGTATCCCTAGCTAGCAACTTTATTGTAATATCTATTAACATAGGCTTATATATACATAAGCTTCATATATTCGTATATATACTTGTTTTCATCACAAATATTAATAATTAAAATCAAAATAAATAAAACTAACATTATATTTACAGGATTTATTAAAAAACAGCACACAAATACAATAATAAATATCAGTACATTTATTCAACTTTAATATAGAAATTAATGAACAACCCGAAACAAAGATAATAACAAAATTTGAAAAATTAAATAATGTAAATCTGCACTCCACTTCTTCAATTATAATATGTACTCGTATTTAAAATGCGTCAAGAATAGAATTGAGATGGTTTTGAATTGAAATAAATTTGAAACCAATTGCTAATTATGTAAGCAATTCTGCATTATTGCTGCATTAAATTTAGAGATGGGCCGAATATTCGTTTCATATTCGGTATTCAGCAGCTTTACCGAATGTTCGTACTTGGCCGATTATTCGGCTAAATGCCCGAATATTCGTTTAGGTGGTACTCAAAATGTCCACTGTATTGAATTGTACGAATTGAGTAATGCCATGTCTTTCATAATTTTACTGTTGGAAGTACAGGTACTTTATTTATGGGTTAAATCTACTTGAAATGTTATGTTTTCAAGGTAGTTTAGATTTATTTTCAATTATAGCAAATAGAAACCTTGATAAAATGTTTTTGGAATCAAACGAAGAAACATTACATTAGTACATTTCACTTTACTTTAGTCGCCAGTTTTTCTATATAATCCCGCGCGCTTTATGGTAATAAGTTTCGACATAAATTGGTTAGGTACCGAGGTGATCCCGCCGAATAATGTTCGGTCGAATATTCGGTTCAGTAAAAGTTTTACCGAACTTTCGGCTGAATAGTCGTATTCGGTAAAATCCATATTCGGCCCATCTTAAATTAAAATCGAATCCAGTCTTGAATATTTGTTTTTATTAATCATTTAAGATTAAATGGAAATGATAATAAAATTGAGGTCATTTGGAGTTGCGGCGATTTATATTTTTTGAAATGAATTTTAAACCAATTACTAATCAAGTAAGCAATTCTGCATATTTCTCCATTAAAATCGAATCGAATGTTGACAAAAACAAATATTCAATCAATATTTATATAATAATAAATATTTGGAAACAAATATTAAAGCAGTATGTTAGCAATGAAGACGTCTTAAACTTACATTATATAATAACTTATATCAAATAATTTAAAGCTCAAAATTAATTATGCTTCTTTGCATTATTTATAACACTTTTAAATAAAATATGCAATACAAAAAATTATGTGCTGTATTGTACCCTGTAGTGCAGTGTTTTTCAACCTTTTTAATTTCGAGACCCCTTTACAAGTTGAAAAATTCTGGCGACCCCCTTGTGTCATAGAAAGACAAAGAAATAGGAACTCGAAGTGCGCGCACTTGCGACTAAGATATTGATTGGAAAAAATGTATCGCTATTTGTAGCGTTGGCGCTAAAGCTGTGACTGGTAAAAATAGCGGACTCATAGCGAAATTAAAAGTGATAATGCCAAACATATCCTGGACACACTGTTTCCTTCATCAGCAGGCTCTAGCTGCTAAGGTAGTACCTTCTGATTTAAATGACGTGCTCAAGGAGGTAATAAAAATTGTGAATTCTATCAAAGGCAAAGCCTTGCAAACCCGGCTATTCAGAATCGTTTATGAAGATATGGGCTCGCTTCATCGAAATCTGCTTTATGACACAGAGGTCAGGTGGCTATCCAAAGGAAAGGTTTTGACATGAGTTTTAGAACTGAGAGCTGAATTGTTAATGTTCTTACAAGATGCAAAATCTGAATATGCTAATCGTTTTTCTGACCCTATTTGGCTCTTGAAATTAGCATTTTTGGCAGATGTTTTTAGCCACCTTAATAATTTGAACAAGAACCTCCAAGGTAGAGATGAAAATATTTTAACAGCTAAAAACAAAGCATTTCACATAAAACTTCATTTGTGGTCAACCTCTCTAAAACAATATATTTGAGTATTTTCCATGTGTTCAGAAGATTATTGAAGATAACGCATCATACCAAAGTCTTGTAGTAAGGGCTTACATTCCTTGCATGATACAGAGCTTGCATAATTTAGTAGTCAGTCATAAGTCTGTAGATCTGGCTGATGTCACCACAAATATGAAAGAATGTCTTCTAGATTTAGCTGCTGATGGCATACTTAAAACGGAATTTTATTCACAAAGTGTCGACGTATTTTGGATGAAAAGAAAACACGAATATCCAGACCTGGCAAGGGAAGCTCTTAAATTATTAGTGCCATTCGCCACTTCATACTTGTGTGAACTGACATATTCTGCAATGGTAGACATTAAAACTAAAAAGAGAAATAGACTGCATTAGACATTAGAAAATGACTTCATTATTAACGTTTCTAATATAGCATCAAAATTTAATATTCTTTTGAAAAATAAACAAGCCCAACCTTCTCACTAAAATTGTATTTTTATTCTAGTGTTAGAACCTTGCCTTTTTCTTTCAGCCGGCGACCTTCCGAGTATAGCTTCGCGACCCACAGGTTAAAAACACTGCTGTAGTGTAATGATGGCGTAAGAGAATTCACCACTCAATGTCACCCCTTGGGTGTCGTAAGAAGCGACAGAGATAAACTAAAACATTAGATGCGTAGCAGCCTCTTCAGAAAAAAATTATACTCTATATAATTGCTGCTTTTTGTTTAAATTTAATTATTTATAAAATTGTAATAATGCATTCTATAGACTCATAGAGTATATCTAACCTATTTGATAACGACATATCTGCTATAAAAATAATTATAAAAATACATTTGTATAAAAAAAAATAAGAATCATCAATCAATCAATCATTAATCTTACTTTTATAATTTGGTGGTTCAATTAAAGGATATGTATTATTACATATCATTGATAAATTAGTTTAGAACGCACGAATATACAAAATCTATAACAGTAATTAAATATTATTAACTCATTTTGGTAGCAACAAGAGGTTCTTTCTTTTAAAAGTTTACTTCTTAACTTTTTGGCTATAATTTGGAAATAGTTCTCATCATCATCTACTTCCTTTCTCCCAGCTAATATTCTATTAACATTTTTAAAACTATTAAAAATCCGTTGACGCATCACAATAATAATCAAATAATCAACTTTTTTATTTTTATGCACATTACATTTCGTAAAATCAAAATCAATTAAAGTATATAATATGCTTGTTTTTATAATTTCTTTTAACTGATCATTTTCAAAATTGTCCTTTGAAATATGATTGATTATATCTTGCATATCTGAAATTGATTGAATCAAATCATTGCTGGGAGTACAAAGCCATTGTCTACCTGCATATTCTCTGTATTTTATGTATTCTATTTCATCTTCAGAAAATCGGTCATATTTACAGTTAACACAATGTTTATATTTAGTTTTATTGTAATTGGCGTGAGGTTTATTTCTAAAATTTTTGTGCTCTAAGTTTTCATTAACAATGAGTGTGCACAGCATTACAATAATCTAGCTCGCAGTTTTTACCATGAGTGTGGACACTATTAACATTATTATCAAAAGGGTAGCAAAAGCTTACTCATATTGGTCACAAGTTGGATTAATATTGCGGCATCCATGACGTCTAACCGATCCAAAGAAATTTTCCAGTGGGTCCTGATTTGGATGACGCAACCACACTGATGTAATCCCAAAATCAATTTCAATCTTTTTTTAATAAAACTTCCATCCCTTTGATTGGTGCCTCAATGACTCAGATATGAGCCGAGTGTCAAAAGGCGTAACTTATGAAATCTCAATTTATATGTGATAACAATATTTAAATATTGATATCATTCACACTTCTAGGTCGGCACATGTTTTGATTTTTTTTTTTGTTTCTTAAATAATATTGTGTGTGGTTCCTATAAACATCGTAAAATCTTACGGTACATCGCGAAAAATGTGTTATATTTTATATTTCAATTTATTATTTATTTATTTATTTATTTGCTTTTTAAGGGAAACATACAGTACAATAAAAAATACATTATAAAACATAAAAGTAGTCTTAAAACCAATGAAGTTTTTACAGATATCTAATACATATTAAAAGCTTGCAACCACAATATGTTTAAAGATTAAAAAAAATAACTAAGTGGTATTTATAATTAAACATTAAGTACTAAGTAGTTAAAAGTAATACAATACAAACAACCTATAATGAAGCTACCAATAATTAATTAAGTTTTACAATATTTTTTATAACTATTATATTTAAGGTGAAAAATATCTAGTTCACAATATTTTAAATTAAAATTTTTACATGTACGAGATACAAAATTATTTGAAGCATACTTCGTTTTAACTTTACGTAATGCAAAAAGAGGTTTATTTCGTGCACCTAACCGGTGACACGCAAGATTCACTTTGCTTAAAAGTAGGGGAGAGTCGATGATATTATGTAGCAATTTGTATAACAAAATCTAAGCTATCAATAATGGAGTCCGAAGAAGAAGAAGAATTATATCGCTTTAACCCTTTATAAGACCGAGAAAAGTAGAAGTGGTACGAAGAGGAACTTTTAGTATGTTGATGGAAACATTTTTTTATGATTTTTAAGATTTTTTCAACTCGGAAAAATGTTGGGAAATATGTGAAAAATTTGCCTCTGCCCATACTAGAAGGGTGATATTTCTGTTAATTTAAGTAAATAACATGTGTTCTATTTCTTTTATATTCATTTTTAGTTATAAATAAAAGAGTAATTAATTGACAATACAAAAATATTTATTTTTAGAAAAATATACTTATAGCTATTATGGTATAGTAACATCAATCAACTAGAGACTATTTGAGATCCATCAAATTTTTGGCTTTTGACATAATTTGGTAGCTATCTTTTTAAAGATCTTCAATCAGCAAAGCCACGTTAAGTTCTCAGACTAAAATAATGATTGGCAGGATATTTTTCCCTAATGTGTAGACAGTCAGGGGCGTAGCTACCGCCGTATCAGCCGTATTAATTATACGGGGCCCCCGGGCTACAGGGGCCCCGAACATGTGTATGCAAAAATTCGTAAAATGTTATCCACAAATCCACTTGAACTCTTAGGCCGTACTTCCCGAAAAAATAATCATATCATTAAATAGTTCCCAACGTGCCTAAAGAAGACCTGTCAGAAATTGTCCAATTTTCTGTAGTTTTTCGATACATCTCGATAAAAGAAAATTATGATAATGTATTTAAAGAAATAATAATCTTTATTGATAAACATATTACAAGCACAAAATTTACGTCGGTTATTAGCCCCTAAGTTGAAAACTTCTACCCACTTTCAGGGGCTAAATTAATAGTTGCCTAGACGGGGTGCATAATCGGAATTCATATATATTATTTTTCTTTCGATTTTCTCCCTCTGCTGTGTACAGTAATTTATAGAAATGATTAAAAAACTGACCCAAGATACTTTGTAGAATTTTTTTTAAATTATCAATAAAAATTTATACATATTTTTTTGTTTTAAAAGGTCAACGCCGAAATAAAAGAAGTACCTCACAGAATTACAAATTCATTGAAATCTTGGCATAAAATAATTTAAAACGAAGACAAACATTCATTACTTACGTTATAACGAACGTTTCGTTACGTTGTAAGGGCTGTAACGGTGACGGTAACGGCAATACGTAAAATGTTTTTGATTACATTTTTGGTTATTAAAAATTAATTAATAATTAAAGTGTATGTATTAAACTGTACTTGGGGTAAAAAGTCGGAGGAAAAATAAAAGTGAACTCCGATTATCAACCCCCGTCTGGGATGGATAGATGAACACGTGTTTGCGAGAATCCACTCTAGAGTGGATTTTTTAGGGTTGACAAACGGAATAACCCAAAAAATATACTTTTTTTAGTAGTAGTATAAAGTGCTTGTTAATTCTGAGTAACGACTAACGATTCATCTAAAAATATAAAATTACCCTTAAAAAGGTGTCCTAGGTCTTCAAGAAACGACGCCTTCTCAGCTATAAGGAAAAAATATTTTTTAATGATTTATATTAATATTGAAAACATTGTAACAACTAAATTTAATTTCCACTAAAAAGACAAACCTTTTTTCTTCACTATTTGAAACTTCAATTCAATTTTAATTAAATTGTTTTTCTTTCTGCCAAAATTAGTGATCCAAGGAAGAAATTCGACACATTTTGAAGTTTTATTACAAAAAAGGATGCAGCTCGATCTGGTCACCTTCATACTAATATAGTCGATGCCTTTTTTGAAAAAGTGGTGGAATAGTTCTTTACAACATAGCCGAAGAATTGAAGACTGACCACAAAACAGTTTTGAGCCATTTGAGAGTTTGGCTATACAAAAAAGTTCGATATTTAGGTATCACACGAGCTCACTAAAAGAAACCTAAGAAATCGTGTACTCATTTGCGATTCTCTATTGAAAAGTAATAAAACTGAACCATTTTTGCAAAGCTTAATCACTGACGATGTGAGTGGATAACCTGCGACAAAATCGTACGTAAAAGATCATGGTCAAAAGGTAGTCTAGTCCACAGACGGTAGGATAAGAAGGGCATCGTTTATTACTTACTTACTTACTTACTTATCTTCACGCACAATCCCTAACGGGGTAGCCAGAGAGAACAGATCGCCAAGTGTCACGATCCTTACATACCTCTTTCGCTTCCTTCAGGTTCATTAACTTCTTCATACATGCACGTCTAGGTATCCGAGTACTCTTGACCCTCCCCTCTTCGAGCAATTTGCTCACATGGTCTTCGAAAGTTAGTCTCGGTCTACCTCGACACCTTTTAATATTTACTTTCGCTCTATATATTTTATCGTTTATTAAGAGCTTTTATAGCTGGGCAAAACCATTGATTTGGATCTCTACTACCAACAACTTGTTAGAATCAAGCAAGAAATCGAGAAAAAACAGCCGGAATAAATCATAAGAAAAGGAGTGGTCTTTCATCATCATAACACCAGACCACACAATCTTTAGCCACTCAGCAAACATTGAGAACGCTTGGTTGGGAAGTATTAATGCATCCATCATATAGTCTTGACCTTGCACCTTCAGATTTTCACCTGTTTCGGTCACTACAGAATTCTTTGGGTAGTGTTAGGGTAATATCAAGAGAGGACTGTCAAAACTACTTGTCGCAGTTTTTGATCGAAATGCCAAAATTTCTACAGCAACGGCATTATGTCATCTACCTACAAGATGGCAACAAGTTATCGAACAAAATGGACCATACTCATATATTTGTTATACGAGTATTTAAATGTAATGAAACTTAGAAAAAAAATTGTGTAGGTTATGAATACGTGATTTTTGGATTTCCAATAGACAAGAAAAGCTTATATTAGATTTGAATTGTTTGGCTATAGTTTAGTAGAGTACGGGTGGATTGAAAAGTACTCGGCCTAACCAAGAAAATAAACACATACTAAATCAGTTATATTTTTATTTTTCTACATAATCACCATCAAGTTCAATACACTTTTGCCACCTCCCCTTCCAAGCATTTAGACCGTTGAAAAAAAATGATTCTTCCTTAGAGTCAAAATATGCGTCTACAGCTGCTTTGACCTCGTCGTTTGTCGAAAATCTTTGACCTCCCAAGTGCTTTTTTAGGTTAGGGAACAGAAAGAAGTCTGATGGTGCCAGATCAGGTGAATACGGCGGATGCGGTAACAGTTCAAAGCCACAGTTGTGAATTTCAGCCATTGACTGTACTGACGTGTGAACACGGGCGTTATCTTGATGAAACAGGACTTTTCTTCTGAGCATTCCTCGACGTTTTTCTTTTATTTCCTCTCGTAAACGACGTAGTAAGGTGCAGTAGTAATCAGAGTTTATAGTCTGACCCCTTTCAAGATAATCAATCATAATCACACCTTTCGAGTCCCAGAATACTGAAGCCATCACCTTATTTGCCGACAAAATCGACTTAGCCTTTTTTAGGGGGTGGTGAACCAGGTCTTCTCCACTGTTTTGATTGTTGTTTTGTTTCCGGTGTACAGTAATGAACCCATGTTTCGTCCATAGTAACAAAACGATTCAAAAAATCATCTGCATCGGCTTCAAATAACTCCAAACAGTCGCGTGAAATAGTCAATCGCGTCCTTTTTTTGTTCAACTGAAAGCAGTCGCGGAACCCACCTCGCAGACCCACCTTGTGGAAACCCAACTCGTTGACAATGATGTTTTGAGTTCGTTAATAAGAGATGCCTATAATCTCGGCTATCTCTCTAATTTTTAATCTGCGGTCTCCCATTATTAAATCAAGTACTTTTTTAATATTTTCGTCAGTAGTTGACGTCGAAGGCCTTCCAGAGCGGGGTTCATCTTTCACACTCTCTCTACCACGCTTAAATTCTGCTATCCATTTTTTGACGGATGAATATGACAGAGCACAATCGCCTAATGTACTGACCATGTCATCATGGATGGCTTTTGATGATAGCCCCTTCTTATGGAGGTACTTAATGACGGCACGCTGCTCGATTTGCTCCATTCGCGGAAATTATGTCCGATTACTTTGTTAATAAATTTATAAAATCACAACTAATTATCGCACACGTTTCGAACTTCACACAATGAACTAGTCTGAACTGAACTAAATAATGTGGGTAGATTTGATTTTTAGAATTGAATGGATCTGTGTTAGGCCGAGTACTTTTCAATCCACCCTCGTATTAAAGGGGTTTGAAATTTCCCGCTTGTCGGCCAAAAGATTTTTTTTGTTTGGCTGCTTGTTCCGGTTGCAAACCTATAATCAATATATAATTTTTTCAATTCAATGCGAGCAGTTTCGGGCCTTTTGTTGGGCCCCCCAACAAATTTTGACACAGGGTACGCTACGCCACTGGTAGACAGCACTTTGTATCTTGCTGACTATAACTGTTGCTAAACGGAAACGAAGTTGTAGTACATTGAAACATTTTAAAATTTACCTACGTTTCTACTATGTGTCAGGAAAGACACATAGTAGAAATGTAAGCATATCTTGGAATATTTTCCATAGATTTTTTTTGCCCAAAAGTTAAATTATTCCGAATTAATAAAAACATTACAAGCGCATAAGCCAGAAAGCTGGCTATCTAGGCTTTTCACTAAGTTTGTTGTTGGTAGTTCCTTTTTTTAATACTGTCTGCAGAACAACATTTTAAATAAAAGTTGTCAAACAAGATTATTAACCCTTATTATGAGAAATAATCTGTACAACTAGCCACAAGCACAGCAAGGCAAGCATAATGGCGTTGTCCAGCGCAACAGAGTAGTGCGAGCGGAATGGACATTTCTTTAAGAACCTTCTTGCATTTCAGCGTTACGCAAATTTAGGTTTTTTTACGCTCCGAGCGGGCGACGACCTACGCGAGCAATACTTTATTTCACAATATCTATTCACTCGCCCGCACTACGATACCTACTGTGAGTATAGCGACTAAACGATCTTTATCTTCCATTATATAAGTTTTCTTAGGATGGAGTTAAGTGGATGGAAAATTTTTGGTGTGTCATTTTTATGTCATCTAATTAATTTATTTTGATCTATTTGATACATTTTTCATTCTTTATGAACCTTAATGTTGAAGCCTTGTACATAACACATAAATATTTTAATTGTTTCACGGTAATCGATTGTTAACCGATGTTGATTAATAATCGATTATATCTACTAATTACGATTTGGACGATTTGGACGAATACGATTAAGAACTATTTGGACCCGAGGCACAAGGTTCAATCGGGCTAGGCTTTTTGAGATTCCACCTCAAAAAGCCTAGCCCGATTGAACCTTGAAACTCTTTATCACAATAAATTACTTAAGATCTGTAGCGCTATTCTTTAAAATACAAATTCTATTTCGAGACTTACTCAGACGATAAGGCTAACTTTGAAAGCGAACTTGCTTAACCTTGAATCGGTAATCTATAAGCATGTGGTACGCACATGAAGGTTAGAGAATAGGAGAACGATTGCCGTAGAAAATAGTGTCCCAGAAATATGGTAACCATAAGTTAGGCGCTGCGATCGCTAAGTTCGGTCAATAAAAGTCATTTTCAGTCTATTTTTCTGATCAGATCCTAAACCAATTGCACATCTACGCACAATAAAATATTTCTCCATTTTTTAATGTTTCTTTTATCAAAAATTACAAAATTACGGAGCATGAAAATTTTCTCACCAATGCCGCGGAGAAAATTTGTACATTATTCAACTAACTTCAGCTACTTGTACTCATAAACAGCTAACTTCGCAGTCACTACTCACCGACGTCAGCGCCGCTATAAATTCTACAATTTTCAAGGACAGGCGGACTACGCTTTAGTAGTAAGCGATCGTTCTCCTGTTCTCTAACCTTCATGGTATGGAGTGTAGAAGTAAGGAGTACCAACTCCCATAGTAGAATAGTTGAAAAAGTGGCCATCTGTAAGCAGTAAATAACAGTTCGAAAACTCTCCACAACAGCGCTGGACTAGCTACTGGGATGAAATGAAGTTAACAGTTGACCGTTTAAGTGTGCTGCAAAACTGCTCAGTAGCTCTAAAATAATTTTATTTAGTAAATATAACCTCGAAAAAGTCGTCTATCCCACTAATATTTTTCGGTACGGTTTTTAAAATTTACCCCATAATAATTATAGTGGCGCCACCCCTATTTAAGGGTTTTCTATGGACACCTTTTAATACACATTCTGTACTCCATACTTCATGGGTACGAACATGCGAAGTGAAGTGAGATTCGAATCGAAGATCGCTTACCTATAAATAGCTAGGGATTGACTCATTAAGAATAACTCAGTCCATTTTAGTTGCCTATCTCTTTTTTAGTCATAAATGAAAATTTTATTACATAATTTTATATTTAATTAATGACTATTCAATATTACTACATTCTTTATATTAAGTAATTATATTTTAATGCCCAGAATAACGGCACTTTTAATACTTGGCTCTATAGTGCAGTGTCTTTGCCGCAGTTAATTGAGAACTTTATGACATAAACAAAGTTTGTTTACAAGCTAGCTAGTAGCTCTCTAGTCATAATCAGTCAGTAATCCATAGATTACTGACTATATACTAGCAGTAATCTATGCTAGTAGCTACGTCTAAGTTGTACGAACAGTACGTTGGCCGACTGACAGTGCGAAGTGAAAAATATTTTGAGACAATTTATTACAAATTAAAGTGTTCATTTAATTTAAAAAAAATGAAGTAAGTTAATCAACTGTTTGAATTATTCAATTCATGTTCAATAGAACTTTGTTTAACTGTAATATTTTCTTTTGTATTGTAGCCCGATAGAAAGAGCGTCACATCCATCTCGTGCTCAAATTTCTACTCTTTTGGACTTTTTTAAAAAACATCCAAGTTTGTCAAAAGGATTTTCAAGAGTGCCTAGTGCAAGAGATGCCGCTCGGAAAATGTGGGAGAAAATCACCCTACAATTAAATAGTTTGGAAGGCTGTGTTAAATCTACGAAGCAATGGATAAAGGTTTGTTTATATTGAATGAATTTCGTCTATTAATTACACATTGTAATATGCTTAAAAAAGCTTAAATTGGTTTTAGTATTGGGCCGATAAAAAAAGTGCAGTAAAGAAAAAAGCGGCTTTACGGTTTCGTGCAAAAAATAAGACTGGTGGTCGAGCAGAGGTTGTAGAATTAACAGACCTAGAGGAAAGGATTTTGACCTTAATGGGTGGTGAAAGTTTTGCCATAGGTAATAGGCAAATAGAAATTAACCCTTTTGAAGTAAGTTTTAACATGTTTATGAAAGTTTATTTATAGGTTCTAAGTAAGATCGCTTAATAAAACAAAATTTTATTCTTTTTAAGAATACAAATCAGGATAGATTAGATTCTCATACTGATAGCAGTCCATCATTGCTGGCCAAACAATTATCTATTGGTTTGGATGCAGCCACACCAAACACAACAGTAAGTGGATAATTATTTTATTGTTTATTATTTACTATATTAAATAGTGTTATTTTTAAATGTCCATTAGTATACAGTTTTGATATCCTCTCAACTGTCCCGGCCCAAATGGTCGCTTTGGTGCATAGTGCCCAACCCTAAACAAGTGATTTATTGCCTACGTGGCGCATGTCATTAAAATGGCAATATCTTAATAATTATGAATGGATACTATAAAATAAATTACTGGATTACTTGTTAGAATCATTGTTAAGTAAACTAATAGAATATGTGTAAATATAATATGTACATTCACCTTTTTATATTTTCTAAATTCCATGGTAAAAATGCTAAAAGCCATTTTTTTCCAGTTTGGTGAATAAAAAATTGTAAAAAGAAAACAATTACTTCAATAAATATTTATTTTATTTAAAATAAGATAAATACATTTTACAATGATTAATAAAAGAAAACACAACTCTGCATACATTTTTTTACACCACAAGCTCAACAATAATGTGGGCCACTTAAGATGACCCGAAACAGGCACAAAAAAAGGCACATTATGTACTTCAATAGTGACTATTCCATACCAAGATAAGTAGGTTAATGATATTAAAACAATGTTGTACAAGTTAGAGGGAGATACAGATACATTTACTACGGCTGTTTCGTGTCTGAAGTTTATAAGTAAATTGCAACCTTCTAAAGGTTGTGGACAGACGCGTACTTTTTTAATAGTGACCTTTAGAAGGTTTTGGACAGCCGAGAGGATATATTAATTAAAATTTATATTATAATTATTTTTCTTGGTAAAGTTAAATTTATAGTGAGATGATGATAATACATACTTATAATATTTATACTTATATGTGCTTATATGTTTCAATGTGTTTCAGGAACAAGATTCTTCAACAAATGTTGTATTAACGGCATCAGATATTATCAATATTCCTACAATAGAGGTATGATATATTTTTAAAGTTAATAAATGCAATTACAAAATTTGTTTAAAGGTTTTAATTCAAAAAGTTATTTTGTGCTTATGCGAAATAGATTTGAGACAGTTATTTAATGTGTTTTTTCAGCAATGTCTTTACATTTTCAGACACCACAGCAACCCAGACTTGAATGTGTTCCTGGGACATCGCATTTGTCTTCAAGCTCAAGTGAAGTGCACATAGTATGTAACTCGTTTAAAGGTTTATTTTAAAATCCTTGTGTGATTGCATATTACTATAAAAATCTTGGTTTCAGGTGTATTTTCAGGAACAAGATTCTTCAACAAATGTTGTATTAAAGGAAGGAGATATTATTAATATTCCTACAATAGAGGTATGATATATTTTTAAAGTTAATAAATGCAATTACAAAATCTATTTAAAAGTATAGGTTTTAATTCAAAAAGTTATTTTGTGCTTATGTGAAATAGATTTGGGACAATTATGTAATATGTTTTTTCAGCAATGTCTTTACATTTTCAGACATCACAGCAACCCAGACTTGAATGTGTTCCTGTGACATCGCATTTGTCTTCAAGCTCAAGTGAAGTGCACATAGTATGTAACTCATTTAACGGTTTATTTTGAAATCTTTGTTTAATTGCATATTAATATAAAAATCTTGATTACAGGTGTCTCAATGCCCCATGTCAAGAGCACATGCTGTGCCCAGCACCCCTCCAAGAGTTGGTTCGCCAGTAAGTTCAATGCCTACAAAACCTTCTGGATCAGGCAGACACCCACAGCAAGGTATACTAAATGTTTGTCAGCAGCTGGCTAGATCCTCCCACAATGCCAGTAATTATATTTTGTACTATTATTACAAAGATGAAAGTGTGTTTGTTTGTCAGTCTTTCATGTCGAAATAGAGTGACGGATTAATTTTTTTTGAATATACTCTTTAGTACAAAAATATTTTTAATTAAATTCTTATGTGTATAATATTCAATAAGGTTCTGCATGTTTGTGATTGTGTCCACAAGTCTCGAAAAGAAGTTGATGGATTGGCTCCATAACAATACTAGCGCTTCGACAGCGGCTGTCTGTTGTGTGTATGTCGGTTATTGCGCCAAAAAGTTGCCTATATCCATCTCCAGGGTCCAAGCTATTTTCGTGCCAATTTTCATCAGAATTTGTTCAGTGGTTTAGCTGTGAAAATGTAACTAACTGACATACTTATATATACACCAGACACACACATATTATACACATATATATACACCAGACACACTTATAATAGACATATTTATAATAATAGTACAGATTATTAGTATGATGACGTAGACTTGAATTTGATTTTGGTCTCTTTATAGCATCTTCAAGTCGTCGTCGAAGACATCACAGACCACTGTCACCACCATCACAGCGACAGTCCCATTTGACTAGTCTAGCCGAGCGGTTCTTACGAGTGAAAGAACAGCAGACTGAAATCCAACAGCAGAGTCTTGCAATATTGCAATCTTATCTAGATAATCAAATAGAAAGGGACCGCTCTACAGCTCAAGCAATGCAGGTCATTGGGGATGGGTTGCAGTTGTTGGCAGAAGTATTAAAAAAATAAAAATAAAATACTTTGTAAAAGTTTCTTTTAATGCATTATATCTTTGCACGCCATAGTCTATTTACTAAGTCTTGTCGACTTGATTGCCCCAAATAGCTTCTCTGGACACACCATCAACACTAGAGCCTCGTGCACGTATTGCTGTGTGAAAACGAATTTCTTCTTGTAAGTCATACTCGCCCATAGCTGGACCTGCACGGTTACAAATATTATGTGACACACAAGCTATCACAATATTTGCAACCATTTCAGGATCATAGTGGAGCACCCTGTGCACCATTAACACCTAAATCTTCCCATTAGCCTGCCAATCGCTCTCTCCACAGTATTACGTGCTGTGGTGTGTAATTTATTGTAGTGCTCTTCTGGTGATCCTTCTTCAGCGTTAGGCATTGGTACCATCAGATAAGTGCGTTGGGCATATCGGAATCACCTGCAATATAAAATGTTATGTTAGTTGTATTTTTAATGAATTAGTGGTAGAGCCACGCTGCAGCTATATTATGGTTGTAGCGCGAATGGGTCGGCTCGACCGGGGATGGACCACGCTCTCACAGAATACCATCGTAAAATAGCTTAATACTGCTGTGTTTCGTATGGTGAGTGTAGAGATCTGGAGACCCTTTTTTACTGGAAACGAGGCATTCCATCGTAGTCCTTACGGGTGACAACGCATCTACGTTTTCTTAATTAACGATAAATGTAGATGTCTATGGGCCACAGCATCCACTTACCATCAGGTGGATTGTGTGCTCGTCTGTCACCTTTATTCTATAAAAAAATCAAGACTTAATTGCATTTAAACTAATCGACGTGATCTTTATGAAGGGTGGGTGTAGATAAATTATGAGGATTTGTTAAAGTTATACTATTTTTACGTAAATATATGACTGATTCTTAGCTTACCTTGCAAATATACGGTTTCACCAGCTTCAACTAAACTTTCAAGTTTAGGTTGAATCACAATTATTATTAAAAATAAAATTGTCGTGTGTAGCGCCTCCGTAAGTTGCGTCAACGTGTAATATATTTAAGTCGGCGTCAGGGATCTGAGCATCAGTGAATAAAAAATATTGTGATGGTAAAAACACTGGCCTTTTGAATTTTTTTATTCTACTTTTACAAGCTCCGTATACTTACTAACTGCTCATTTCCTGCATGGTTTCCCCTCAGATAGTAATAACGCTTCATTCTGTGATGGTCTCATCATGTAATGTAGGTCCCATGAACACATCCTATTACTCAAGGAATATTATATTTTGTGAAGAATTTGTAATTTTTTTTAAATGTTACTCTACATTAGATATATTTCTTGTATCGTGGGTGCATTTACAAATATAGAATATTGCATGCATTCACATACAGACCCACAGCAACTACCTGTGGATCACATAAATGTTTGTTCCATGCGGGAATCGAAACCGTGACCCACGGCGCTGCATTCGAGTAGTTCAGCCACTGCGCCAAACCTGCCATTAATATTTAATATATAAACTTAAAACGCAAACAGACGGCCCCCAGTCCCCGGCGGCCTCGCTATTCATGGCTACGGTGGCGACCATGGTAACGGCGGGGCGGGGGGTGCTAAGAATCTCCGGTAGAGGTTCGGTTGCCACCTACGACTACTCGACCTGGCAACTTATAACGCACGCACCCTGAGGACTGACTAGAAGATACTGGAGCTGGAAGAAGAGGCAGACAATTTGCGCTGGCATATTATTGGATTATCCGAGGTCCGAAGAGAGGGGGAGGACACGGCAATCCTCGAGTCCGGCAACTTGTTCTATCACCGAAAGGGCGACCATCTGTCCCAAGGAGGTGTCGGATTTATCGTCCACTAGTCTCTCGTCAACGTTGTAAAGATTGGGAGTGTGTCGACGAGGGTCGCGTACCTGATACTCAGAATCACCAAACGGTATTCGCTGAAGTTCATACAGGTTTACGCACCAACCTCGGCACATCCCGATGAGGAGGTGGAGGAAATGTATGAGGATATTTCCAGAGCCATGCATTCCTCCAAAACCCACTACACGGTGTTGATGTGAGACTTCAACGCAAAACTAGGCACAAGAGAAAGCGGTGAGCTGAAGGTAGGGAAATTTGGAGTAGGGCAACGGAACCGAAGGGGCCAGCAGCTGGCCGACTTTATGGAGAAAGAGGGACTCTTTATGATGAACTCTTTCTTCCAGAAGCGGCCCCACAGGAAGTGGACCTGGTCGAGCCCCGACGGTTCGACAAAAAATGAGATTGACTTCATTATGACGACCAGACGCCAACTGTTCAGAGATGTCTCAGTGATCGCAAGGGTGAAAACTGGCAGCGATCACCGAATGGTTAGAGGCACACTGAACCTAAACGTTAAGTTGGAGAGGTCTCGTCTAATGAAGTCAACGCTCCGTCCCCCTCGTGCTCTAATCCAGAATCCCGAAACCTTTCAGCTCGAGTTACGTAACCGCTTTCAGTGCCTAGAAGATTGCAATGCAGTGGACGATATGAATGACAAGCTCGTGGAAACTGTCCATGCGTTCGGAGCTAAGTTCTGCAAGACGCGCCGCCGAAGAACACAAAAACTCTCTGATCACACTCTTAATCTCATGGCTATTAGGCGGGAGATGAGGCTGCAATCGTCAACAGATTTGACAGCATACAGGCAACTGAACAGACAGATCTCCAAATGCATGCGGCGAGACTTACGCAATTTTAATACTGCTCGTATTAAAGAAGCGATCGAGCGGAACCAGGGCTCCAAAGTCTTTGCCTGAAGCTGAAGACTGAGTGTGGCAACATCGTTTCCGGGACACCTGAGATTCTGAGTGAGATTGAGAGGTTCTGTGGGCAGCTGTTCACATCATCGTTGGAGCCACACGCAAGTGTGAGTAACGATCCAAGAGCAAGATCCGACACTATTCCGATGATATCCCGGACGTCAGTCTGAGCGAGATTAGAATGGCTCTCCACCACCTTAAAAACGACAAGGCCCCGGGCGAGGATGGAATTACAGCGGAGCTTCTGAAAGCGGGTGGAACACCGGTACTTGAAGTCCTTCAGAAGCTCTTCAATTCCGTCCTCCATGGTGGCACAACTCCGGAGGCGTGTAGCAGAAGCGTGGTGGTCTTGTTCTTTAAGAAAGGCTACAACGCTCTCTTGAAGAACTACAGACCGATTTCCCTTCTGAGCCGCGTCTACATGCTATTTTCGAGAGTCATTACGAATCGTCACGCACGCGGACTCGACGACTTCCAGCCTCCCGAACAAGCCGGTTTCCGAAAAGGCTTCAGTACCATAGACCACATACATACCCTGCGGCAGATTGTACAGAAGACCGAAGAGTACAATCTGCCACTTTGCCTGGCATATGTGGACTATGAGAAAGCCTTTGATTCCGTCTAAATTTGGCGGTGCTACAGTCCCTTCAGCGGTGCCAAGTTGACTGTCGGTATATCGAAGTGCTGAAGTGTTTGTACAGTAGGGCTATGGCGATGGCTATCCGAGTACAGAACCGGAGTTCGAAACCTATCCAACTGCAGAGAGGTGTAAGACAGGGTGATGTTATATCCCCGAAACTCTTCACCGCTGCGTTGGAAGACGTTTTCAAGCTACTGGACTGGAAAGGATACGGTATTAACATCAATGTCGAGTATATCACTCAACTTCGATTTGCCGACGATATAGTCCTTATGGCAGAATCGCTGGAGGACCTTAGCACTATGCTCAATGACCTCAATGGTGTCTCCCAACGGATAGGTTTTAAGATGAATATGGACAACCCAAAGATCATGTTTAATGTCCACGTCACACCTATGCCGGTAGTTGTTGGGAGCACTATGCTGGAAATTGTTGACGAGTACGTTTACCTGGGACAAATAGTCCGACTAGGTAGGTACAACTTCGATCGAGAGGTGTATCGACGGATTCAACTCGGCTGGGCAGCGTTCGGAAAATTACGACACATCTTCTCGTCAGGTATACCTCAATCTCTGAAAACTAAAGTGTATAACCAGTGCGTGTTGCCAGTGATGACATACGGATCTGAGACGAGGTCCTTCACTGCTGACCGTATGAGAACGCTCAATGTCGCTCAGCGAGCTTTGGAGAGGGCTATGCTCGGAGTTTCTCTGCGTGATAAGACTCAGAAATGAGGATATCCGCAGTAAAACCAGAGTGACCGACATAGGCCAACGGATTAGTAAGCTGAAGTGGCAATGGGCCGGCCATATAGCTCGAAGAACCGACAACCGATGGGGAAGAAAGGTTCTCGAGTGGCAGTCTCGTACCGGTAGGCGTAGTGTAGGGCGACCCCCCACTATATGGAGTGACGACCTGGTAAGACATGCAGGAAGTCGATGGATACAGGTGGCTCAGGACCGTGCTTTGTGGCGTTACTTGGGGGAGGCCTATGTTCAGCAGTGGACTTGTGAAGGGCTGTAATGATGATGATGATAAACTTAAAAATTATATTTAAGTATTTATTATTTTAAAATAAAATATTATTTAAATGTGCAGTCAAGGCGCTATTTAAAGGCGAAGCCTTGCTTGTTATCGTAGGTACCTACTTTTCCTTTAGTTGGGGCCTTTCTTCAAAGTTTTGCGGGAATCGAATATATTTTTTGACAACACTCGGATGGTTAAGAGCTTTCACAACCTCATGAACACAGCGGGACACTGAAGGCGACACATAAGTGTTGATATTTTTGCCGCATATTCTTTGGTAACTGTTGGTTTGTCTATTACTTTAAATACACTTCAATCCACTGAGAAACACCCATTTCTCCTAACCACCAGAGATATATTTATTTTGGTTACCTATTTCTTTAAATCTGTTCTTTTCTTCTTTTGATATTGATTTATGAATTTCATTTCAGGTCATTACTCTGAATGTTCTGTACATCGAATATATACAAAAATGGAAGGAAATACTTCTCACAAAGAAAATCTTGGTTAGTCTCACATTTTTTAACAGTTTCAATTCATTGAACATAAGATATAAACTTTTTTATAATGCAAAAGATTTTGAATTACTCTGTATATATTTAATGTGTTTCTATAAATGTAATTATAATTCTACGTTTTTAATAAAGTTCTTATAACCTATATGTGGTAGAGCCACGCTGCTTAATGCAGGTGAGTTTTGTATGGTGTTTAGGTTTTACCGGAAATGAGACATTCCATTGTAGTCTTCAGGGATGACAACGCATCTGCATTTTAATTTTTAATTGAATTTAAATGTAGATATCGATAGGTACAGCATCAACTTACCATCAGTTTGATTGTGTGCTCATTTGTCACAAGCGCCTGTGTAAAATCATGGCTAAAACTATTACAATAATATAAAGTAGCGAAAGGAATAATTATAGTAGTGAAGTATGTTGCTGAAAGAAAATTAACTAATGTTTCAGATCCAGTTACTCCAATGCAAGATCCTGTGATATCAACTAATCCTGTAGTTATAAAGAAAAGGGCTGAAATGTTTTTAGGTATGATTTATTTTGATTGACAGATAATAACTATTTATATTTAATATTTGATAATATGGTATATATTTCATATTTGTTCTGACATAGAAAATGTTTTATATGTATCATTCATTGACTTATATGTTACTAGCGTAAGGACCGGATCGACCGCTCAACTAAATCGCACCAATGCGCTGGCCCTAAAATGACAGTTTAGGGCCAACGCGACTCGGTCGACAGTGGTGCGCGCGCAGAACAGATTTGCTTTGCGCAGAACAAATATATACTTGTAGTTGGAGTCACACACGGCTAGCAAATTCATCGAAAAATACTTTTTGTAGTTAAAATATAGTGAGCCGGTATGACACGGCTTTATCATCCTAATATGTTTGCCGTCCACTGCACCTATGCAGTCAGGGAAATCAGCATTTTCTAGAAAGCCTTTACTAATGTTTTCCCAGTCTTCTGTTTGCTTGGGTGGCATACAAATATAAAATAAATTTTTGATAATAGCTTGACATGTCTCCCGAACTATTTTTTGTATTGTTGAAAATCCTCTTCTAAATGAAAAATATAAGTCCATTAAAGAGCACCCAGTTGTCAAATATCTGAAATATTTTTTGTTACAGTTGTTACATTGCAAAAGAGGTGGAAGGGTATCCACACGACGCCTACGTCAAAGATAGGAACAAAAAAATCAGGAGTGGCTCCGGTGCATCTACTTCTAAAGAATACTTGTATAGTTATTATCTGTCAATCAAAATAAATCATACCTAAAAACATTTCAGCCCTTTTCTTTATAACTACAGGATTAGTTGATATCACAGGATCTTGCATTGGAGTAACTGGATCTGAAACATTAGTTAATTTTCTTTCAGCAACATACTTCACTACTATAATTATTCCTTTTGCTACTTTATATTATTGTAATAGTTTTAGCCATGATTTTACACAGGCGCTTGTGACAAATTAGCACACAATCAAACTGATGGTAAGTTGATGCTGTACCTATAGATATCTACATTTAAATTCAATTAAAAATTAAAATGCAGATGCGTTGTCATCCCTGAAGACTACAATGGAATGTCTCATTTCCGGTAAAACCTAAACACCATACAAAACTCACCTGCATTAAGCACTACATATAGGTTATAAGAACTTTATTAAAAACGTAGAATTATAATTACATTTATAGAAATACATTAAATATATACAGAGTAATTCAAAATCTTTTGCATTATAAAAAAAGTTTATATCTTATGTTCAATAAATTGAAACTGTTAAAAAATGACTAACCAAGATTTTCTTTGTGAGAAGTATTTCCTTCCATTTTTGTATATATTCGATGTACAGAAAATTCAGAGTAATGACCTGAAATGAAATTCATAAATCAATATCAAAAGAAGAAAAGAACAGATTTAAAGAAATAGGTAACCAAAATAAATATATCTCTGGTGGTTAGGAGAAATGGGTGTTTCTCAGTGGATTGAAGTGTATTTAAAGTAATAGACAAACCAACACGTTTCCTCTCATCAACATCTTTACCAACATTACATGGCGACCCTGCCAGACAATGCGCTGCGACAATGCAAGTGCACTGTCGCGGTCCGCATAATTATTAAATTGTTAAATGAAAAACGAATTTAACTGTAATTTACTGGAATCGACACAATTATACTGGATATGATAAAAAGGAAAATTAAATGCGCATATAAATATGGCCTTTTCTTAAATATTTAATATTACATAGGTACTTTTTGAGGAAAATTTTTGTAGAGTATCAATATCTACATAACTTATTTGTGTAGATTATGAAAATAATTACTTTGTATATAATAAACTTAAGATTTAGAAACATAATATTATGTATACAATTAATTTATCTAAATTTTGTTATGCTGTTATTGTGAACCTCATTTTATGGCTGAAAATGATATATCAAATACTATAGATGTGAGTAAATTTATGGCTAAATTACGGAATACATAATTATAAATGACAAGTATTGATAGTGTCCAGGTGCCAGTGACATGGTAAATAAAATTTTCGGAGGCTAGCATATCCAAATACAATCAGTTTGATCAGCTCAGAGTTTGCAAAACTTAATATCCAATTAATTTATTAAGAATATTAGGATGTGATTAAATGCAGGGTGAGTTTTAATGTATTGTTAATGTATTGTAAAGTATAAAAAACAAATTATTTTTTTATAGTTTTTGCCAGTGGGAGGTGTAGTGTAGCCCCCTCGATAGTATATAGTGCCAAGTTTAGAAAAAGCTGAAAAAGAGTAGTTAATTGTAAGGCAGAACAACAATTATGACAGGAGCAAGGTTTGATTAAGAAAATATATTTTTAAAGTTAAATCAAAATGTTGGCTTGTTAAAATCTCATCTCAGCGGTTCACAAATCTACAACTTAAAATCAATACATTATAAAATGTCTATCTTTAACAATATATTAGTAGCAAGGGAAACGTTGGGGTGTTATAAATTGAACATATGTATCTGTGCATCTGTCTGAAGCATCATAGTGGCCGCATAGATGGACTATTATTTAGCTTTTTTTTTGTTGAAAGGTGACTTGATCAAGAGTGTTCTAAGTTATGATTCAAGAAAATCTGTTCAGCCATTTGAAGATCGTCAGCTCTTTTTTTTGTTTTGGTTTACTAAATTTTATTACTTATTTAACAAAAATTTCCTTCATAAGTTTTATAAATCTTATGTTCAATTATTGCATTATATTTATAGAGATTTTATTGTTCATTTATGGACTTTTTAAGTCAATCCAAATTTAGGAACTTCTATGGTATCATCTCAACCCTTTCTACAGGAAACTTCTTTCTTTTTTTAGTAATAAATATACATTGTTCCATATGTATATTATGATGTTCTCATAAATAAACAATGATGAAAGTATTAAAATATTAGTCCCCTTGAAAAGGTCACATACTCGTACTATGTTCAGCAGTGGATTTGTGATGGGCTGTAAAGATGATAGTATTATGATTATAAATATATATATATATATATATATATATATATATATATATAGCAGACTTGTTGAAAAATATCAGTACCTGTAGGTGCTGACAATTTTGCCAGGTTCAAAATTTGTTTCATGGGTTTTCTTCTCATAACTGCTGTTTTATTTGATGATGTAGCTAAAAGAAAATAATAGGATTAACTTTGAAATTATTTATATATGATAATAAAAAACAGTACCAGTATCTGTGATGACTTACAAAAAGTATAAATTCACTGTATAATATTATATAACAATTTATTTAAAAAAAAGTATAACAGAGGGATAACACATTGCAAGCTTAATATTTATGAAAACTAGACTTAATTGTTGATCACCAAAGCATCATCCTTCTCTCAGCCGTAATCATTACATGCATTATCCTTTTAAGCCCAATAGTGCATATAAATAGTTTGTAATTATATTCTAGTTAGATAACTACTTAATTAGGCATTTTTTATAAAGAAACTATATATATTATAATTCTTATAATATTATGTTACTAATTTAATAATCTATACAAACCTGGTATATGCAAAGTAGGCACAGTAATGTTACTGATTCTGTTATTTCTGCATTGAAGTGTTTCTTCAAAATGTGAGGGACACATGGCGATACTTGAAGTTGAATAGGTGCATATTTTCGAGGTCTAGTAAATCACCGTCAATTGCATAAAGCCATACCCTAAATCATTCACTATCGTTTTCTGGGTTTGGAAATCCGTGAAGAACATGATGCATGCATAAAATATTTAAGATACATTTAAAAAAAATACTTATGCTTATGACAATTAATGCCCCTGATGCAATGATTTCAAAAGGAAGGATAGGCCCATCTAAATATTTTACACATAATATTTTCATACAAGAAAAAGTAGCGCATCTGTCATAATACAAATGTTATATCAAAACACGACGTAACCAGGGTCGGATTTCGTAGTATAATTATCCTAATTGTACCATTATTTCATAGTTTGTAGTACATAGTATTGTAATAATACTAAGCGAAAACACCATCATTTTACCTAAAGGTCGACTTGTATTATTATTGGGTATTTTTACATTTTAATATTAACCCTACGATATCGAGAATTTCTGTATTGTACATGAGCACCGCGTTTTTTAATAAAATTAGAATTAGCTCCCTTTCTGGTCAATCGATGCTCGATCGATACATTTATGTTGCATCCTTGATGAGGGGCTACCACGATAAAAACTCTATGCTTCAGAAGCAATCGGTTTGAAAACAGAATTTCAAAATATTTTATGAATCAGATTTTCAGATTCAATTAAGCAGATATGTTGAAATAATACTAGTTTTTACGGATTGTATTGCGTATATTTAACTATAAATACCCGACGTTTTGAGCGCTTTACAGCACCAATGGTCACGTGGGGGACTTAGATGTTCAAAGTCCAGATGTCATAGTTAACAGCGGTTACCATAGATTAAACTTTAACTTTTGTTCCGATCTACACAGTACGAACTTATGGTATCTTAAAGTCTTGCAGTTGTATGCTTGGGTTGGGATTTAATTTTATTTATTATAGGATCCCAAGCAGATGGTAGCACCCAGGAATCCTCTCTATTGAAATTAGGATGTTTTTTGATTTCAATAGACTCTCAAATCGTTCTTGGAAGGAATTGGTGTTCTTTAGTGAGGATCTGTGGTCTATCAAATCTGATGTAGTGACAGGGGCGATCCTGTATGTGTTCACAGACTGCAGACTTCCCGGAGCGTTGATTCTTCACATCAACAGAAACATTGGGTATTTGTAGTTAAATATACGCGATAAAATCCATAAAAACTCGTATTATTTCAATGTGTAGTTTCGCATAAATATAAGAAATCATTAAGCACATATGGTTTCTTTTATACTCTTTTAGTTTTACCCTCATTGAATATAAAATATATTAAGTACCAATATTCAAAATTTAACTTATACTAAGTTCTTTAGGCAAATATTAAACAGTAATAAAAATAAAACTGCGTGATGCCAAAATCTAACGCAAAAAAAGAAACATGAAACGTCAAACGTGATATAATTTTTTTTAAATAGTATAATTTTATTTTCCATGTACAATATTTTTGAAAGTCTGAATCCAACCCTGGCCTAATCTTGGTAACGTAACTA